CAATCCTATTATGATATTCGGGTTCGCATTTTAGACCGCCAAGTTCGCAGGTTGAGAAAAAAGGAGGTTGCATCAGTCAAGGTCATTTGGAGGAACCAATTTTTTTAATAAGAGACTTGGTAAGAAAAAGAGGGAATAAATAATAGGTATCCATATCTCTTTGAATCCATAGAGAATGCAGGCCAAGGTACTACTTCTCTTCGTAGTACTTTATGAAGTTTGAGTAAGCTTTTGGTTACTTGATTTTATTTGTTGAGCATTGAACTTGATGTTATTATCCTTAGCTTAGCGAAAGGAATATCATTAAAGGACGAATGTTCCCAAAGGGGAGATATTGTAACATGTAATAATTTGAAATATCTAGGAATAAGATAAGAACCTAAAAATATTCATTTTTGGAAAGAAAAGGAATAATTAGGAAAATTGCCTAAGTTAAGAAATTGAGTTTTGGTTATTTCAAAAGGTCATAACTACTAACTCAGGATGAGTTAGAGGTAGTTCTTGATCTGGTTGGAAGCCCTTGGAGATATCTTTCTAATGCCGCTGAGTTTGTGCATTTTCGATCTTTTATGAGTGAGATATGCCTATTGGAAGTTGGGCTATTGAAGTAAGGAAAGTCTCAATCCGGATTTAAAGAAGGGAACACTAGTATTTTCACCAATTAATTTCCAATTTAGTTTTAGGGGTTTATTTGGGGTAAAAACAAGTTTGAGTTCATATTGGAAAATTAAACTTTGTCGTCAGGGGTGATCCCTATCAAGGTATATGAGATCTTTTCTTGTTGGGTTAGTTAACCCACATACCAACTTGATTAAATTCAAAAATTTTGAGTAGGTTGAATAATAAAAAGTGAAGTTCTTGAAGAACATTGTTGAATTCTTGTTCGTTGAGTTGTTACATGACTAGTGTTGATTTGATACGTGTTTATAGGTTGTTTTCCATGTCAAACCTATTGGGTATTGAGGGTAGTAATTATCCTAAGTGTTTGGGAAAAGAACCATGGAAGTTTAGAGGGTTTAGAGATGAAAAAAGAGAGGAGATAAGTCAAAAACGCTTGTCTGTAGGGCCCTGGGTTACCGCGCCTCTCATAGCCCAACAGGACAATCTCTGTCAATAGGTCCTTGGCGCGCCGTGCCATACCTAAAGCTCCATCTTGGCCACTGAAGTTTGGGGCCTGGCACCCCACGCCTCTTAGGAGCGCCGAGGACGCTAGTTTACCCCATTCATCCCCCACTCTTTCGTACTAGTTCCTAAGTGATATACCCATGTTTCTTAGTTAATTCCAACACTCTAATGTACATCTAAACATCATGAAATCATTCATAAACATGATATCATGAACTTTCAATCTATAATCCAATTCAAGGAAAGTTAATATCAAAGTAAAAGAAGTTAAGAGTTAAGTCTAGAAGTTAAGAAGTAAGTCAAAGAGAAGTTCCCTAAATTTTCAAGAATCTTTAATAAAAATTTTAACTTTGTTTTAAGACTCAAGTTTCAAGTTAAGTAAAGATTAAATAGTTGAAGTCTTTCCTTCAAATAAATATAAGGGAACTAAGTATTTCCTAAGAGTTGATTCAGACTCAAGTTTCAAGATAAGTAAAGAGTAAAGAGTTGAGTTCATTTCTCAAAAGTTATAAGGGATCTAAGTATTCTCTATGAGTCCATAAATGTTTTTATATTTAAGTTAAGTGGAACCTAAGATCTCCAAAAGAGTTTGAACAAGGGAACATTGATTACAAGAGAGATTTATAAATCTAAGTATTGAGGAATTATCTTAACCCAAAGAAGGAAGTTATTTTTAAAAGATGACCTAAAGTATATTTTGGAAGTAGTATTGATCACCTATGTGGGGATAAGAGTTCATGTTAACTAAAATCTCCATGAAAACCATGACGTCATCATGGGTATTAACGGGTCATACTTTTTAGATGATCATGTAAGTTAAGTTAGTCGATCCACTAAGTTAAGTAGTTATATGCGAAGACAAAATATAGGATAGTTCTGGCAGCGTGGGCATGACGTTGTATCACCATTTATGCTCATAGTGGTGGTTGTTGGTTAATGAATCTCCTACAAAAATTATACTTACTTAATATATAAGTAAAGTTGAGTTTGTTATTGTATTTTCTATAAAGAACTAAGTGTTTATATTGTTTTATAAGATTTTGATATATTGCAGATGTGTTGTTGCTTTATATTAATTCAAGTTATTCATGAGTTGAGCAGATCCAGGGTAAGTGTTTCTTCTTACTCCTTTTAAAGCTTAAGTTGTAGTCAGCATTCCGACCCGCATACTTGTACATTCAATGTACTGATGCCAGTTGTTCTGCATCATATGATAGGATGCAAACGCATAAAACAAGGATCAGTATCATCCAACACCTCGTTGATACAACTAAGCACTTGTAGTTAGTAGTGATCCTCCTTACATTATGGAGGACACATATTTATTGCTTTGCGTCTTTCTTTTTATAGGATATTGTGGGGTCTGTCCCAATATCTAACTTAGTATTATCGAGACTTGATAGACAGTCAGACGGTTTAGTTTTGAGTCTTTTCTTTGTTTTGCAGATGTTTTGCTATGAGACTTCAATGTCATATTAGGCAAGTTATTTAGTTCAAGTTATTTAATAAGAATGTTTTCTTGTATTGAGTTAACTCTTTTGTTGAGTTAAGGAAGCCAGACCAAGGGTCCACACAAGGCCAGCAATGGTCATTGAGTGTCGGCCACATCCAGGGTGTAGGATTGAGGCATAATAAATTTGAACAAATATCATTTTATATTAATTAAATTTCTCTTTTTGGTTCATTGTATTGTCGGTCAAAGTGTAAAGATAGTAATTACAAATGACATATTTTTTAGTTAGACCATGTTATTGGTTTATTAAAAAAATTATAGTGTCATTTATTTCAACATATGTTTTAGTAAGTTAATATGTAAATTGATGATAATTTCTGAGGTAAATATTTTTTATTGCGTTTTTATATTTTCTAATATTGCTCTTGTTCAATTATTTATGTTTCCTAATAAAGTCATGCTTAATAAAGACATTCCACTATTATGAACATTATGAATATACTTGTTATCTAATATTTAACAAACAAAAAAATTTAACTTGTATAAACGACTTAAGAATATTCTCAAGTACGTTATAATTCATTTTAAATTCTTAATATGATATAATGAATTTTGTTTCTCTTTTTTTTTATCATCCAACCATTTGATACTTGAACATTATATGATTCATTATGAAATAATTCATAATAACCATCAAAAAGATTATAAATTTAAATTTTTGTATATACTTCAGTTTCATAATATCATCTATCTAAATTTGCGATTTGAAATCACTTAAGTGAAACTCATCCATATCCCTTTTTCATATTTTTTTTCATTTATTTGTGAAGGTTACTAACTTTTTTCAGTGATGCTTATTCTTTCTATCTGTAGATATCTATATGTTGAATAATTTCTATTACATTCAAAACATATTTCTTTGATTAATAATTTCTACATGTAAAAGGAATAAACACACAAAACTTGACACATCAAAAAATCTAGAGAGAGTTTTACTTGAGCAGTTACCTCTTTAAGATGCCGTTTGTAACATCTCATAACTCGTAATAGCCAAGAATAAGCTAAGAAACTAAAATTTCTCACTTTTGGAAAGAATAAGAAAAAACTGGAAAATTTCCCAAGTTTAAAAAAGTGAATTTTGGTCATTTTCAAACGGTCATAACTTCTAGTTTAGGATGAGTTAGAGTCAGTTCCTTATATGGTTGGAAATCCCTTCGAAAGATCTTTCCAACGACGCCAAGTTTGCAAGATTTCGATATTGTATGAGGAAGATGCGCCTTTCGGACATTGGGTTGTTGTAGTGAGGAAAGTCCAATTTCGGATTTTAGTAAGGGCAAACTTGTCTTCTCACCCAACTATTTTCTAATTCATTTTAAAGGGTTACTAGGGGTAAAACTAAGCTTTAAGCTAGTTTTAAAAAATTATATTGCACTTAGTGCTTGGGAGAAAAGAGAAGAGAAGAAGGATAAATGAGAAAGGGCCAATAATTCATCAAGAACGCCAAGATCTTCTAGTGGAATTCGTCGCGGGTGATACCCATTAAGGTATGTTGGAGTTTTCGTGTTTGATTAATTCACCCACACATCAATTTGTTTCAATTTAGCAATCAGTGAGTTGATTTGATTTTAGAAGTGAAGTTTTTAAAGAAAAGTTTTGAATTCTAGTTGATTGAATTGTTGGCTGCCTTTGTTGGTTGAATTCTTATTTCTCCAGGTTATTTTTAAGTTGAATTGTTAGTGAGAGTACCAATAGTCCCAAGTGTTTGGTGAAAGGACTAGAAAGGTTTGGAGATGAAAAATGAGTTGAATAATTCGTCAGACACACCTGAAGTGCGCCAGAAACTGGCCTCATTCACTGAGGCCTGGCGCGCGCACGGCGCGCCACTAGAGCACCAGATCTAAGCCTCAGTCAACTGTGGCTGGCGCGGTACTCCACTAATACACCGAATCCGGCATTTTTCATCTAGTTTTAGTAGTTTATTCCTTCCAAGGTACATTAACACCTTCCAGTGATTCTAATTACTTCTAATGATTTCTAAACACCTAAAAATCATTAAAGAACTCAAAATCATAACCTTGAATTCATAATTCAATTCAAGAAAAGTTTGGATCAAAGTCAAGAAAGTTAAGAAGTCAAGTCTAAAGGTAAGAAGTAAGTTAAAGTGAAGTTCTTAAAGGTTTTCAAGAGTCTTATTTAAACATTTTAACTTTGTTTTAAGACTCAAGTTTCAAACTAAGTAAAGATTTAAAGTTGAGTTCATTTCTCAAAGGATATAAGAGAACCAAGTATTCCTTAGAAAGTTTATAAATGTTTTACATTTAAGTTAGGAAGAAACTAAGATTTCTTAAAAGAGTTTTGAACAATAAAAGGAACATTGATTCCAAAGGAGGTTTTAAAGATAAGTGTTGAGCAATTATCTCAACCCAAAAGAAAGGAAGTTATTTTAAAATCATGAGCTAAAGTATATTTTGGGAGTAATAGTAGGCACCGATGTGGGGATAAATGTTCATATTAAATCAAGTCCCCATGTAAACCATGTACCCATCATGGGGTTTAACGGGTCATATTTTTCATAAGATCACATAAGTTAAGCTAGTGTATCCACTAAGTTAAGGAGGTCTATATGAAGACAAAGTATAGAATAATTCTTGCTGTGTGGGCAAGACACTGTATCACCACTTAGGCTCATAGTGGTGGTTTACGGTTAAAGAATCTTCCACATAAACTATATTACTTTCATTATAAGTAAAGTTGAGTTTGTTATTGCATTATCTTTAACGAACTACGTTGTTTACACTGTTTTACAAGTTTTATATACATCTATTGTACGTGTCTTTATTGCTTTATATTGAGTTAATATTTCATGAGTTGAGCGGAGACAAGGTAAGTTCTTCTTAATCCTTTCAAGATTTAAGTTGTTGTTAACATTCCAACTCTCATACTCATACATTCAATGTACTGACGCCACTTGTCCTGCATCATCTTATGATGCAAACATAGGTAACCAGGATCAGCATCATCCAGCGCCTCGTTGATCTAGTGAGCATTCTAGAAAGTGGTAGGCCTCCTTGCATTCCGAGGAAACTTTTATTCGCTTTCTAGTATTTCATTTAATATGATGTTGTGAGTTCTGTCTGAACATGCATCTTAGTATTTTAAGAGGCTTCATAGACAGTAGATAGTCAGTTTGAGTCTCTTATTTCTGTATTTCAGATTATTCGATTATGAGACTTAAGTGCCAGTTTGGCCAACATATTATTTCTTTAAGTAATATCATGAGATTGTTTTGTTTGAATTAAGTCTTTCGCTGAATTAAGTAAGTCAGACCAAGGGTTCGCTCAAGACAAGAAATATTCATTGGGCGTCGGCCACATCCAAGGTGTAGACTCGGGGCATGACAAACTTGGTATCAGAATAGAGAGTTTAGGACGTTTAAGAGTCCTAGGGTGTCTTAGTCATCGGTGTGAAGCGCGCCACATCTATGATTAGGAGTCTACAACATTTAGGAATTTCTCACTTTCTTCATATTTCATTTTCGTACGTTAGAGTTTATCTCTAAAGTCTCTCTATCTAATTTGTGCTTTCACGTGTTTCAGATAACTATGCCTCCATGAAGAGCAGAAAGAGGTCATCTTGCTAGGAGGAATGTTGAACCTCAGGAACAGGAGTTACCTAATGCTCCTGAAGTGCAACCTCAGGGGGAGGTTACAAATGCTGAGTTCCGTGAGGCTATCCGGATGCTAAGCCAAGTGGTGACAAACCAAGTTGAGCAACAAAGGGGATCTCGACAAGAAGGTCTTGACACTTCAAGCATTCGTAGACAGTGGCGAGCCTCCTTGCATTTTGGAGTACACTTTTATTCGCTCTCTAGTATTTCATTTATAGAATATTATGGGGCCTGTATGAACTTGCATCTTAGTATTGTAGAGGTTTCATAGAAAATCAGATAGTTAGTTTGAGTCTCATATTTCTGTATTTCAGATTATTTAATTATGAGACTTAAGTGCCAGTTTGGCCAACTTATTATTTCATGAAGTTATATCATGAGATTCTTTTATGTGTTAAGTCTTTCGCTGAGTTAAGTAAGCCAAACCAAGGGTTTGCTTAAGACCAACAATGGTCATTAGCTGCCGTCCACATTTAGGGTGTAGACTCGGGGCGTGACACCCTTTCAAAAACTTATAACAACCTAGAGAGAGAATTGTTACTTGATCTTTGAATTAGATATCTTTTGAGTAGTATTGAGCATCGATAATGGGAAGATTCCAAACACCTCACATTCTCCATTAACCACGTAGCCAACGTAGGTAAGAATCACACAGACGCTTGGGTTTTTACTCACTGCCTTTGAACAAATATTATTGTGGATCCATGAGTAGAATTCATTCTATGCCCTTACATAGTATAGGATAGTTTTGTTGGTATGGGTGAGACAATATATCATCACGCTCATAGTGATAGTTGTCGGTTGTAGAAACTCTAAAATTAATTCTCTTATATATATCATGTAGTAGGATTCACTATTCCTGCATTCTTAAAATATGTAACGACCCTCTAAGTCGTTTATGAATTTTACCCATTTTTCAAAGTTGAATCCTTTTAATAGTTTTTGTGAATAATTTATGACTTGTGGGAATGAGTGTTATAATTTTTAAAATAATTGAGAGTTATTTAAGTTTTATAAAATAATAAAAGGAAAATAAATGTACTAAGTCCAAAAAGGATTTTTAAGAAAAAAAAATTAAAAAAATAACTAATAACAGAAAGCAAAGGGCTACACCAATTGAAAAAAAAAAGGATTGAAAGATGCTGCTGTTGATACCAGCAACAGTCACACAAAAATTAAAAAAAAATAATTACATTACTGTAAGCAACCAAAAATAAAAGAGAGGCAACGCTGCATCGATAAAAAGAACCATATGTTTGAATCAGGTAAGAAATTTGATCTTCTATAATTTAGTTGAATTATTTTGTACTATTATTTGTGAAATCATTAACACCATATTAATGTGTTTAAGTGCTTTTATCAATTGATTATGAATTTTGTTAAGATCATATTTTCTATTGGTGGGTTATTGTATTGCTTAGGTTTTTAGTGGATAAGGAATAAGGAAGTTATCATTTTGTTTGCAGCGGGTGAATGGCGGCAGAGCGTTCGTCAAAAGGAAGTGTGATTTAAATGTAATTTGTTTACGTAATTTGACTTTGAATTGAATTTTCTTAAATTATCACATTATGATTCTAGTTTTCATATATTAAGTCAAATAATTGTATATAGAAGGTAATCTATTATATGAATACTATTGGAATTTATGATATTGGAGAAGTTGGAATATAACCCTAGGCTTGAAATTTAGAAATTCGAGGGTTATATGATAATTGACATCAAAATTTAAGAACTTGATTACAAATGAGTGAGTTTTTGACATAGTAATACGAGTGTTGTTTCTTTTGACATCTTATTGTGGTCATTTGTTTGGATAAATTGTTTTGATTTGGAAGTTCAATGAAAGGGGAAGACTCAAGTTCCGAATTAAACTCTTGATTGATTGAGGCGAGTGAATTTGTAAACCCTTGTTAAGTGTATGGAATATGTGTATTTCCTTGTGGTATATATGTTTGGGAGTAATGAGATTTGGTGATGGGTTGAGTTGTTCACATTTTTTAATTCTAATGATGAAAATTAAAGGTAATAAAATGCAATGTGAATAATTGCTTGTGTGTGATATGTTGAGAATGGAGAACGGTTTGAAAGGCTTGTTGAATCATTGTTGATGTTGTTGTCAATTGTGCAATATTATGAAAATGGTCATCTCCTCATTTTTTTGTGAACATGTCATTTGCATTGTTCTGAGACATGGCTGTGATAAGTGTTATGTGCATTGAGAAAGAATAAGAGGATGTACCATCTCAAGGGTTGTATCACGCGCCTCGATGAATACTATATTTTGAGGGACGTATCGCACACCATGATGGATACTATATATCGACGGACGTATCACGCATCACGATGGTTACTATTATCGAGGGTGGTATCACACGGCGTGATGGATGCATGGACAGATATGTCCCCCATGGGTCCATGACTGAGAGACAACGGGTGTGTATCACTAGGTTAGACATGTATCATTATACTTGACATTGCATTGCATTGCATTGTACATACTTATCCTTAGTGAACTTGATATTGTGTGTTGCTGATCTTGTGAATACCTTTCTATGGAATTGGTGATTGATGATTACTAAGCTTGTTGTTGAGGATATATAATTTGTTGAAGTATTGTTGTTGAGGATATATAATTTGTTAAAGTGTTGTTGTTGAGGATATGTAATTTTTTAAAGTGTTGTTGGTGAGGACATGTAATTTGTTAAAGTCTTGTTATTGAGGACATGTAATATGTCAAAGTGTTTTTGTTGAGGATATGTAGTTTTCCTAAGTATTGATGCTGAACTATGTGCTCTTTAAATTGTGAGTTGTTAGGTTGTGCTGATGTTTATATAGGTTATAGTTGTGGAGGTTCAGGTTGGGTGGTAGGAGTACCCGTATTTCTTCCCCTTAGGTATGTTTAGATGTTTACTTGTTGAGTACCGTGTGGTTTGGTAGTCATCCCTTGCTTCTACAATTTATTATAGGTTACTAGACCAATCTTTTGTGATTTATTCTTTTATAGTTTTGAGGCTTCTTGGATATTTGTGAGGTAGCTATTTGTTATCTCAACAGATCTTCTTACTCATGTTTATGATTTTGTTCTACTCAAGAAACGATGTCATATTGGACTTATATTTTCTTTTTATTCAATTGTAATACTTTAGAGGCTTGTAAATGTGACAACCAGATTTTGGGGATATATTTGAGCTTATTATAACATTTCCGCATTTTAGTGTAATGGTCTTGAGTTTTAGGATGGCTTGTCTTGGTGGGATAAGACGAGTGTCATCACATCCATTTTTAGGTCATGTCAAAATGGTATCAGAGCCCAGGTTCATAGGTCTCATGTGTGTACAAGTCGAGTCTACATAGAGTCTCAAAGATCGATACAGAGACGTCTGTACTTATCTTCAAGAGACTATAGTGACTTTTAGGAAAAATCTCCACTTGTTAGGTCTTTATCGTGCGTATTTGGTCCGATTTTAATTTTATTGCTTCACTCTATTCACTTTCGCTTTTGTGATGAGTCGTGCTTAGTTTCTCATGTGAATATTTTGTGTGTTGTATATGTTTTAAATGTTAGCTTTGCTATTAAGGTAGAAGTAATATAATTATGGAAAGAATGTGTGGTTAGATTTAGGATGTTTAAAAATTTTAAGATATGATGTAAGATTAGTTATCCTAGTAAAGTGAATAGTACTTGTGTGGTATACACAATATTTAGGTGGTTTAACAATTGAAAGTAGAATAATTAAAGGGATGGCTAGATAATGGAGCTGTAACTTTGAAAACTACAATTAGTAAAGTTATCATAATATGAATGGATTGCTTAGAAAATTATGCACCAATTAAGGTTAAAAAATCTACTACAATAGTATCGATGCTTACTTGGTTAGAGTTATGGAGAGTGTTACTTTCAGTGTTAACCTAACTAATGAAAGAATTCATATAGCTTGGGCTAGATATGAAACTAATTAGGTAATATTTAACATCTATTTGATGGGTAGAAATGTGTGACCTCTTAAGAATAAGATCTTCTCGATAGGTATGATGTGTTCTAGTGGTGGATGAAACGGACTTTCACGATGTGGTGCGAGTGGGTGTTTGAAAGCGGATACATTGGTTGTTAAGTGGGAAGACTATCTTCATATGGAGTTATTAGTTGTATCACATGCTCGTATAATGAGATTTAATATTACATTCATATTTGAGAAACCAACTAGGTTCTGACTACAGATTTTTGAGGTCAAGTAGTGTGTATAAAGAAGATTGTAGTGGTGGATCGTTGATACGGTATTAGTGCATTAAGTTGAGAAGTGTATCCCGAGGGCTATAAATGAGGATCGGTAATTTCATCTTAAGGTCCATGGGAGTCAATAAATATTGAAATTACAAGCTTATGGGTAAGAGAAGTCTCAAAAGATATGCTTGTGTGAAGGTAATAGAAGATTTTAGTAAGAAAGTGCACATGAGATTGGGTTAGTTTGATTTTGGTTGATCTAACTAGATTTAACGTGTCATATTGGTAAAATGGTTGACATCATGGTGATGAAAAGAGCTAACTGAGCATGATGGTAATAGAGTTCGTGATTGATTGTGAGTGAGATGCAACTATATGGAAAGGATGGTTGATTAAATAATTTTATATTATAATGACGAGTTGTGAGTATCTAAGATATGATATGTTACTATTTGGTTAGTAGGTTGATTTTTTGAAAGTTGTATGAGATGTTGGGAAACCACTTAAATAGAATTGAAATGAGTTAGCCCTTAACAAAAAGTATCAGTGAGAGGCTATATAACCTTCAGGAGGAGGCAGGAGCAAGGATATTTACTTAGATTGTAAGGACCAAAGATGTATCTTCAAAGAGAGTGGATGTTTGAATTCAGAGAAATCTGGTTTCATCTGTTTTGCCTAGATTATTGTGATAGTTTTACGAATTCATCATATTGATTAAAGACTATTGAATAAACATGAGAAAGGAGTGTATATAAATGTTCAACTCGAGTGTGATTATATGTTTTTTTGTGGTTCTGAGTTGGAAATGAGTACGTTTGAATTTTTAGCAAAAGATATGATAAGGTTGATGAAGAGACGATAAATGATAAATTAAGATACGTAGATTCAAAAAAAAATTCAAGGTATGAGCTAATGTTGATAGATAAAAGGATTGGGTTATACAGTTGGATTCAAAATTAAAGTTTTTCATGGCAGGTTTAGGTTCAAAGCAGTAAATTTTGTTATGAAAGGGTAAGAAATGATCTGACTCAATCTCTCTGTTTTTAGCCACCCACAACCAATCAAATTTTATTGAT